TGCCTCACATAGGCACTCCAACGGGGGATCGAACCCACAACCTTTCGGTGTATGGGACGACCCTCCAACCAACTGAGCCACCCAGCCAGGGCTGCTCCTTTTCTCTTAGCCTCAGTTCTTGAACTTCCTCTGCTCAGGCCCTGCCATCAGGTTCCTCTCCAGCCCTCACCAGACATCCCCACCCCTGAACCAACCCACTGATCTCCAGTCTCCCCTCCGCCTCCTGCTGTTTGTCACTTTAATATTGATGCAGCAGGAAAGAAGTTAGAAATGCATGTGCTCTGCTTTGTGGCGCCACCAGAGAGGGGAAGAGAACTCAGACAAGTGGAGGCATATCCAGCAGACCTGTGGGTGTCCTGTCCCCAGCTCCCTCACACTAGAGCTGCTGGCTATGCCGCTTTTCCCACCCAGTTCGCAGGCACTCACTGCAGCCACAGAGGTGATGCAGGCCGGTGGTGGAGCCCGAGTCACGACCCAGGCCCACCAGTCAGAACCTGTTCTCTTCACTGTTGTACCTCCCGCCTTTGTAGCAAGAAGAGTGTGTGGCAGCTCGCTCTGGCCTGGCCTGTGTATGTGGGTTAGCGCGAGGCTGGGCGGCCCTGACTGCTGACTGCCCCAGTCTTGATGCTCCTCTAGTTGAACAAACAGTAGTGACAAGCCATGTCTCCTTTGAGAAGCACACGAGACAGTTCTCGCCCCAGGGAACTGGCAGGGCCAGGCGTGAAGCACCCAGGCAGCTGAGCTGAGCCAGGGTGAGAGAACCTCATGGAGAGAGTGGAGAGCGAGGGACTCTGCGGCCAAGTGGAAGGAGAGAGTGGGCCTAAGGGCAGGGCCAGGGGGTAGGGGAGAGGTGGAACCCTGGGAGGAAGGAGGGAGCCATGGAAGGATTTGGAGCTAGTGAGTGCCAAGATCAGCTCTGTATTCTAGGCAGTCACTTTGTCAGCAGTGAGGAAAGAAAACCTGAGGGGATGGGAAGATCCTTGTGAGGGGAGTGTAACCCCAGTGGGCCTGAACTTGGTCACAGGTTGGGTGGGAAGCGGGTTGGGAAAGGGAAGAGTCAGGGACTCCCAGGCTCTGGCTTTATCCCTAGGGCAGTGCACCTGGTGAGACTGTCCTTGAAACCCAACCTGGGTCTCAGCTTGCTGGAGAACTGTTCCCACCCCTCCTCACCTCTGAATCACCCAGCGGAAAGGAAGTGAGGAAACCCTTCCCCACCGTGCCCGGGCCACACTCTCCGGTGGGTGGGCCGCTGGCTGCAGACATGCGAGGCCATGCCCGATTCAGAGAAAGAGAGGGGGGGAGAGACGTGTCTTTTCTTTTTTTGTTATGAAACATGACAGAGTGCGGGAGACCACCCACTGTCCCACTTGCCATTCTTATGGTCTGTTCCTTGAGAAAAAATGTTTGCAAGGCTGTGCTCCATCCTGTCTTTACCATAGAACTGTGTATGTCTGATTTAAGGTGGCCCTTAGGTACAGCTGTCCACCTGGGGAGCCCCAAGACACCATGCTCCCTGCCTGAGTGCCCCCCAGTCCTGTCTCCCTCCCGATCCAGGACTGGCCAGCGGGAGGACATGCTGTAGTGAGACAGCAGGTAGCGAAGGCAGGGTCTCTCTTTCCCTTGTTGCTGACAGGAAAGCCCCTGAGAAGGCCTGGAGAGGGAAGCCTGCTGCTCAGCCCCTGTGAGCAAAGCAGAGTGGAAACTCCCACCCAGGCGCAGGGGTGGAGGGAGAGGGGAGCCTGGACAGTCTCCGAGTTCTCAGGAAGAAAAGATGAGGCCTGGGTGACCGCACTTCTAGTCTAGAAGTTTGGGGATTTGTATCAACAGGAGGCCCCAGCCCCCACAGGTGGAATGGTTGAGGGGTTTCCCTAACAGCTTTATTGAGGTATAATTCACATACCATAGCATCCGCCCACTTGTAGCACATAAGACCATGTGTGTCAGCGCAGCCCACAACCCGGTTATAAACACTCCGCCAGCTCCGCAAGTCCCCGCACGGCCTCTGCAGCCTCCCTTCCCACTTCCAGCGCCAGGCACCCACTCGTCTGCTCCGTCCCTATCGACTGGCCTTCTTTTGGACATTTCATATCAGTGGAATCATGCAGTCACTTAGCATGTTTTGTGAATACTATTCTACTGTATATGATGGACCACATTTTGTTCCTCCAGTCACCAGCTGATGGACATTTGAAAAGTCCAATTTTTGGCTGTTAATGAAGAATGCCACAATGAGCATTCATGATAAGTTTTTGTGTGGACGTAGGTTTTCATGTTTCATAGTAGAATTGCTGGATCATAAAAGTTTATATTTACCTTTTTAAGAAACTGCCAAGTTTTCCCACGGTGGCTACACCATTTTTATTTCCTACCAGCAATATGAGTGTTCTAGTTTCTCTGCATCTACACCAACACTTGTTATTGTCTTTTTTATTATCGCCATCCTAGGGGTGTGAAATAGTATCTCATTGTGGTTGTGATATGCATGTCTCTAATGACTAATGATGTACGTGTTCTTGTGTGCTAATTGGATATTTTCTAGTTTCTCTGGATAAATGCCTATTCAAATCTTTGGCCCATTTTTTTAAATTGGGTTCTCTTCTTACTGAGAGCTCTTTATATGTTCTGGACACAAGTCCTTTGTTACATAGGCTTTGTAAACATTTTCTCCCAGTGTATGGTCTATCTTTTCATTTTCTTAAGAGTATCTTTTGGAGGGCAGACTTTTTCATTTTTATAAAGTCCAAATGACCACTTTTTTCTCTTATGTATCCTGCTTTTGATGTCGTGTGTAAGACTACCTAACCTAAAGAAATATATTTACCCTTTCTTCTATAAGTGTTATAGAGTCACCCCTCGCCACTTCGCGCTTCGACGTTGGCATCTTTATTTGAAAAAGCGCCAGAGTGAAGCCACCAACGTCAAAGCATGAAGTGGCAAGAGGTGACTGTATATAAAGAAAGAATCCCACTTCAGGGAAATTCATTTATCACGGTAGAGTCTGGAACCAATTAACCGCGATAAATGAGGGCCAACTGTAGTTTTAGCTCTTACATTTAGGGTTTTGATCCACTTGTAGTTAATTTTTGTGTATGATGCGAAGCAAAGGTCCAACTTCATTCATCTGCACAAGGATATCCAGTTGTCCCCAGACTGCTTGTTGAAAAGACTATCTATCTGTTCCCCGCCAAATTTGCCTTTGTCAAAATCAGTTGACCATAAATGTAAGGGTTTGTTTCTGAATGGTCTTTTCTGTCCCTTGATCTGTCAGTATACCAGTCCCATGATGCCTAGTTACCATAGCTTTACAGTAAGTTTTGAAATTGGAAAAGTTAGCCCTTGATTTGGTTATTTTTTTAATTGCATTAGCTGTTTTGAGTACTTTACATTTTCATATAAATTTTAAGATCAACTTATCATTTTCTGCAAAACTAACTGTGTTGGATCAATTCAGAAAGAATTGCCATCTTAATATTCAGTCTTCCAATCCAGGAACAGGGAATGTCTCTCCATTTATTTTTATCTTTTTAATTTTTCTCAGCAACATTTATAGCTTTCAGCATACAAGTCTTGCATTTCCTTTGTTATTTATTTCTTAGTATTTTACTCTTGGTGTTATTGTGAATTTTCTTAATTTCATCTTCAACTTGTTGATTGCTAGCATGTAGACACAGCTGACTTTTGTATGTTGATCTTGTATCCTGTATCCTTGAAGGACAGTATTTTTGTGAGTCAGAGGCACCTACAATGTCACCAAGGGAATCATAGGCTCCTCAGGAGCTAGGAGCCCCCCCCCCCCCTGTATCCTACACACTGCAGGGGCCTCCCCATTAGTCCCTCTTTGCCTAATAAGCACATCTAAGAATAAAGGTCACTTCACTAAAGGGCAGTACCTAACTCTTGAGCAGCTCCATTTGCAAGTTATTTAAACCAACTGAAATCCGCATCCCTGTACCTTCTGCCTACTGGTCTGGATCTGCTCTCTGAGGCGAGGCAGTCGTCTGCACGTCCCCTTCCTTGAGACAAGACTTCCTGGCCTGGCCCCTTCACTATGGCCCCAGGGCTGAGACCAGCCAGCCCTCTCTGGCCAGTACAGTGAAGGCACAGTAGGACAGCAGGACCATTACCTTCTGTCACCTGAACATCATGGTCCTCTTTACTGCAGCCCAGCACTGCACTGCTTTCTCGGTGTCCACATAACACCTGCTCCCCAAAATATACCTTTTTGTCAAAATAGACATTAGTTAGAGGTATAACTTTTTTTTCCGATGTTGTGTATCTATGATGCCTTTTGGGACATTTGGTAGGTTCTCCTGTGGCAGAGGAGTGAAGGCAAGTGGCTGGGCTTTAGGCATGCACTCAGTACCACCCGAGCTCGGCACTGCAGGAATTTCTCTTTCAGTCCGTGGCTGCTGGGACCACCTTTCCCAGAGATCGGACATTCCCATTGATGGTGTGCAGAATGGTGTTAGGAAATACATGGGACACGATAGTAAAAAACATCACAGTGAGAAAATTATTGCTTTTAAAGTATCTTCAAATCTCTGTGACTGTGGCCAAGAGAAAGTCTGCTGGTGTTGGTGTCTTTAGCACTTTCTTTTACCCCTGGTAATCCAACCCTCCCGCCCCACCTACTACTTTTCTAAATGAAGAGCAAGCCATGGGAAAATAGCATCATTTAATACTTTTTCACTTTAGGTATATAATTTATGGCAAAGTGATCCTGATTTCCACTTAGTCATATTATAAAGTTGTCTTTCAAAGTAAATGAGGAAAAAATATTACGTGACCTAGAGGTGGTGAACAGGTGGCCCAGGTGAAAGCGGTTTGGAGTATCCCGTATGTGAGATGCGCTGGTGTGGGGCCACAGCCTGGTGCCCACGCCCAAGCCAGGCTTCTGGGTCTGCGGTGAACTTGCCAGGTCCGCACTCTGGAAGCCACTGTGCCCTGTGCGCCGGGGTGTGGCCGCGGACACTGACCTTGTGTGCCCGGCCTTCCTGCAGGTGCGGCGGGCTGGGGCTGGTGCTGGCCAGCGCGGGCTTCGGCATGCTGACGGCGCCCATCATCGAGCTGCACAACCAGAAAGGCTACTTCCTGCACCACATCATCTTCGCCTGCTGCACGCTCATCTGCATCATCTGCATCCTCCTGCTGCCCGAGAGCCGGAACCAGAGCCTGCCGGAGAGCCTGTCCAACGGGGAGCACTACACGCGGCAGCCTCTCCTACCGCACAAGAAGGGCGAGCAGCCGCTGCTGCTCACCAATGCCGAGCTCAAGGACTACTCGGGCCTCCACGACGCAGCGGCCACTGCGGGGGACGCGCTGCCCGACGGCGCCACCGCCAACGGCCTGAGGTCCTGCGGCTCTGCGCACAGCCTGCCCTGAGGGGCGCCTGGGGCCCCGGGGTGGGGGTGGCTTGCGCGCAGGTTTACCCACGGAACCCAACACGTGGCTGCGGGGCAAACACGGCTGGAACCCCACTGGAGTGCGGGCCTTCCGCTGGTGGGGTAATTCTCTCCAAAACTCTTAAGGATCGTGTGTGAGGAGCAGACTTTTTGGAAATAAGACTTTCTTTTCTGCCATTAAATATTTGTATTTATTTTGGTCATTTTTACGAGAAGCACTTTATTCCCTTTCCTCTCACTGATCTAGAAATAGAACCACCTCCTTCGAAAGAGGGACCCAGTCGCCCCAGAGCAGTGGCCAGTCTCCCCGCGGGCTGCCCTGTGCCCACCGCCCTCCAGCGGCCAGACGCCCCCGCCGCAGGAGCCCCGGAGCTGCCTGCCCCGTGCGGACCCCACCGCGGCAGTTCCCCGACTGCGGGTTAGACGCTGAAATGTAAATGATTAGGTGTTTACCAGAGAGTCTGTGATGGTTTGTAAAGTTTTGTTCTGTTTGTGAGGTCAGAGCTTCTGTTCCATGTTTTGGGGGAAAGTAGCTCGCGAATATCATTAAAACCAGCTTAGTTTTTTCTTCGAGATCATCCTTTTGTACTTGATGCTGGAAACTCTTTGGGGGAAAAGCTTAAACATTTCATCACAAATCTTAAATAATTAGTGGTAATGTCGCCAGTTTTCTGACACTAGTTTGCCTAGTTCATTTCACGACTAGCAAATGTGTTGAGGTCTGGGACATGCTGGCATTAATACTCCTTCTCAGACTCAGCTCCAGCAGAAAAGTTCCCTCTTCCACTGTCAGCTTTTCCCCAGCACTACTTGAAATCATGGCTACTTTCTGAACTGAAACCAAAAGGACAAGAACCGAAATAGAGGATGAAGGCAAACTCATAGGACCAGGGGCGCTCTCCCAAACATGGCCCGTCGCGCACATCTGGAGCACACACCACATAGCAATCACCAGCTTGGATGACTCAGCTCCCACTGACTCCACACAGACTGCAAAGCCCATGGGAGCCGGTCCCCCTCATGCCTGCCTTTGCCTGCTGCCTGCTTTCTGCCACTTCCGTCAGCACAGAGGTGGAGCTTAGGGCAAGGAATGGGATGCACACAGGTTAGTCCAAATGACCTCCTGCCTCTTAAAGTATCAAAACCAATTGAGAGAAAGCAATAACTCACCAAAGTTCAGTTCCCACCCCAAAGTTCAACTCCCATCCCCAATATCCAAGGGTTGTCATAGTGTTCATTTGTCCCAGACAATGAAGGCTGCTTCTTCCATCTCAGGTCAGGCTTTCTCCGCTTGTCTAAGGGGTGTTTCAGAGGAAGCTTGGAGGGTTTCCTCAAGGATACCCAGGGGGCCACTAAGAAATAAGCTTCATTGGCGCAGGCAGATGCCCCTTCTAGCAACATAGGCACCAGATTTTTCACCTGTGTCCTTTCTAGAATTTTCCACACCACCACCTACTTTGTGACATGAGTCTTTGCCAAGGGCTGTGTTTTCCCAAGGAAATCAGTCTCGGGTCTGTGAATTAGGTGACCTCCAACTGACAGCTGCTAGAACTCAAAGGGCCAGAAAAGGGGTTGACCTAACTTCCCTTTCTCCCCTTCTAACTTTAACCTGGACTGTTTCTTACTGTCTCTACCCACCATTCTCTTCCAAAGCTGGTAGACATCAACAGGAACCTGCTGACTTGATAAAAACACGGTGAGGAGGTAAACAAGCATGTGCAATGCCAGTGAGTAAACCGTACTTTTTCTGTCAAAGCAACAGGGCCTGGGGTCTCCAGCCTCATCCAAGGGCCACTGCCTAGGAAGGAAGGAGCCCAGCTCATCCTCGCCTTCCCTCACCTCTTTTAAGTCACTTTTGTTCCATGTTTCAATGTTAGTCCACATCCACCTCACCTTAAAAAGGCCTTTCTTTACAAATGTGCAGCCTTTGCGTGCCAAACTTGTTGAAATACCTTTTGCCTTTTTTAGAGTACTTGCTACAAAGCCACCTGGCAGCAAGACCCATTAAGTCCAGGACATGACATATGCAGTAGCCAAGCCACTGGGCAGTTGCGGAAGGTGGGAAAGAAACCAGTGAGGTCCTGGAGCCGCACCTGGCCAGGTGAATGTCTGCATCCATCACCCCAGCACTAGGACACCTTTCAGTCCCTTTCCTACAGAAGGCCTTGTGAGTACTCACTCACTGATCACAGAGACCTTCTTTAAAACGTATTAAAGCTGTAGAGTGTTGCCGATAATCTCTAGGAAGGCGGAGGGAAGGCAGAGCACTTACAAATTCCTGTTCCAAGGTCTCTGATCTCCACCTTAAATGACAATAAAAACGCTGGTCCAACAGAAACAGTCAGCACTGTCACTTCAGCAATCAGGACTAACTCATGGATGACTAGAAGAGAAGCTAGCTGTGAGGACTGGGCTCTTGGGATCAAGGTCTACTAGCCAATAAGCAGCAGGTGATGTCTCTGGGCAAAGGTCCCACAGCTCTTCCCTCCCCGCAGCCTCAGGATTAGGCTGAGCTCCTCTGTTGCTGGTTTAACTTAAGGATATCTGAAGCTCTTGGGGAACACCTTTATGAAATGTAGCCAAAGCAGAAAAGCTTCCCTGTGGGCTGAGCCCCGTGAAATCCCACACCACGTGGGCAAGGTGGCAAGGGCCCACCTGAGCCTGATGCACATCCGGTCCCACCTTGCTCTGCAGGGCTAGGTGTGCAGCCACCAGCTCCCTGGCACCTGTTGGTCGTGCTGAGACTCCTCAGTCCTGCTTCCTTCGTGGTCAGTAGGGAACCAGTTCTCAGGCACCTGACATTTCAAGTCGGCCTCCCACCACCTCCCACCCTGGCCTGGGGAGACAGCTCTAGGTACGTGCTGAGCCACTCTCCTCCCCCAGCCACTCCTGCTTCCCACTATTCTATCAGGGAGCTATGATCCCCTTTCCATAAAAGTTATGCACAAATGTGAACACCTGAGGCAGGCTGGACAGCTCTTCATTTTGTTCTTTTCCAGAAGTCAATAATAACTCATATCAAATACCTTAAGTACTAGCACCCAAGACAAATAAGGAAAAGTTTTAAATATTTTATTTTCTAAAACAGTGTAATTACTTGCAACTAGAGGAAAGGGGCTGGTAAGTTGTTTTGGCCACAGAACAGAAAGCAAAAATAAACCTCGTAAAGGAAGTACTGCACTCAAACAATATCACTTCCTAGAGCCAAACAAGAAATGACTGAAGTGCCATTAAATGAATTGTGACCATCGCACCGCCCAGCCCCTAGGTGGCGCACGTGCTGGGGAAGGCCCACACTTCACTTACTTTCAAAGGACACCTGGCTTTGCTGTAGGTGTTTTGGAAAAGCAGCACAGTGTGTTCTGTCCAGTGGGATACTACCCCCTGTCCTTTCTGCCACCCCCACATTTGAGGTTCCTAGTCAGAACGTGTTATTGCACATGTCCACCGGGCTCACTCTGGAGGTGCTCACTCATAGCACAAGCCTAAATCGAGTTCTGAACTGTGTCATTTAAAGCTAAATGTCTGCATGATGTCACATCCATTGTACCTTTGGGGAAAATTTGTATGTAAATGTACAGAAATAAAAATGTTGCCCCATTAACAAATTTCCTCTGGAATGTCTTCCCTACCTCATCTGATGGTATCCAATGAAGGGCATTTCACGACCATTGACTACAAGTAATAAAAACTCTGTATTCAGATCTTGCTGCGTCCCTGTTTTAGCGCCTCTGTAAAACGAGTCTTCACTCGGCCTGGGAAGGGTGGGTGGCCCTCATCTGCTTGCAGAGTCCTAGTCTTAAAAGCAGGCAGAGGTAGAGATAGGATTAAACACAAAACTGTTTACTTATGGCTGGTTTAGACCACCTGAGAAATGGGGGCCATCAGTAAGTAAATTTAAGTTCTTTTCTCTTGTGTTTTGATGTCCTGCTAATCCATGGCCTGCGAGTTCCTAGAGAGGTCGAGAAATGATTATCTTACACTGTGATTCTGTGAGGAAAGACTTGATAACCCAAAACGCTCTTCTTTAATGTAGTATTTTTTAACAAGAAAACAATGTTTCTTTAATAAAGTTTTATACCAAACTCTTCTCTCCATAGCCCTGATTTTGTGTTACTTACTCTTTCCTAGAGAGGTGCCCACTGAGCTTCCCAGCTCCGATGATGCTGGCTGAGGCCTTGGAGGTTAGCACAGGAAGTCCGCTAAGGAGGGAAGCATCTTAAACCTCAGATCTACTCCTCTGAAATGCCTTTATGTCCTGGCCAAAATGTCACCACCCCTGGCTACTTACCACTGGCTCAATGCCTTTTGGCACTGCATGACAGAAGGGGTCCACATGGACCCCCAAGATTAGCGAGTTCTTTGCCTGTGGTCTGCAACATTGCCTGTGCTGAGTAACACCTGAGGAGCTTTTCAACCCTACCCAAGCCTGGGCCAGGCCATCTGAGTCTCTGGGGAAGATCAGGCACAGGCAATCTGTGAAGACTCCCCCAGAGATCTGAATGCAAAGCCAAGGTTTGGAGTCACTGACCCAGGAAATACTGGCTTTTGGGAAAAGGACTGGGAAAAAATGTGTGGTATTTGGTACTTAAAAGACTGGAATCTACTTAAGGTGGTAGGCAGAAAAAGGCTAAGGATTAATGATGACCAAAGCAGGAATTTGGGATTTGGGGGGAAAGAGGTGAGAGAAGGAAAGATAATGATAACAGGAGAGCAAGCATTTGGATCCACATGAAGTACATAAAACCATAACCAACATCTTCACTGCCAGGGCACTTAGTTTGCAGAGTATTTCTGTTTATTTAATCCCAAAACTAGCCCAGCAGAATGGAGATCATTCCCATTTGGTAGGTGAGGAAACAGGGCCCAGAAGGGAGACTTCACCAAGACCACAGTCCAGTGAGCAGTGAGGAGTGGGGCTCCAACCCAGGCCCAGGGGAGAATACAACAGAGGGATGTGCTGGGGAAGGAAGGGCACATTACCTCAGTTTTAACTGGAAATGGACATAACAGAGTCATGACTAATGTAACCCTTCAATCTAATTAGCCCCCTTCAATCCCAACAAAATCCCATTTGAACCCCTTTTCTCTGTTATTGAGCAGACACACAAAGAAACAACTGCCCATTTTGCTTTGCTTCCCCAGCTTAATCAATTAAAGCCTTCTGGCCCAGGCTAGTGAAGGGCAGAAGGAAAATTAATAAGATTAACCCTTTAAAGACAAAATGTAAACACATTAACCTGTTGACAGTGAAATTCAATTCATTTATTTAAAAATATGTCGGACATAAGTTAGGACATAAGTTAGATCCTCACTTCTGCCACTCAGCTAGAACTTGTCGGGAAAAGCCTCCATTTCTTCCTTGATCCTGTTTTCTACAAGTAATGCGAAGTTACTGTCAGTATTCTGTAGGTTATAGCTGACAAACACCTGCTTGTTGGTCTTCCTGGCTAAAAAGAGAAAACACATTGATACAGCCATGATTGAAATACCTGGAGACTCGGGCCTACCTTACAGTTGAGAAATACTTGGAAAAAGACAATGGGCTTTCAGGGAGAGAAGTTCTAATTTTTATGACTTCACAGGCAGCTGCTGTAAATGCAAACTAAAGTCATTTGGACCCTTTCTAAGTCTCTAGAACAAGAGTTCTAAAAGTGCGGTCCCCACATCAGCAGCATCCCCTGGGTACTCATCAGAGATACTCATTCTCAGACCCCACTCCCCAGGCTGAATGAATCAGAAAGGCTGGGGTTTTGGCCAGCATCCATTCCATGAGAACTCAAGAGATCCAAAGACTAATGTTTAAAAACCACTGCCTACACATGGTAGGTTTGCTTGTTTCACTTTTCAAAAATATCGATGATATTCAAGTATTTAAAATAAAATAGCCCTGGCCAGTTTGGCTCAGCGGTTAGAGCGTCGGCCTGCGGTCCGGAGAGACCTGGGTTCGGTTCCCGCTAAGGGCACGTACTTCGGTTGCAGTTTGTCCCCGGCCCTGGTTGGTCGTGCGGGTGGCAGCCACTCGATGTGTCCCCTCACGTCGATGTTTCTCACTCTCTCTCCCTTCCTCTCTCTCCCTCCCATTCTATCTGTAAAAAAATGGAAAAATATCCTCGGGTGAGGATAAAAAAAAAAAAGATAACCACTGTGGCTCAGTGGTTGAGCGTGGACCCATGCACCAAAAGGTCGCCAGTTCGATTCCCGATCAGGGCACATGCCCAGGTTGTAAGCCCAATACCCAGTGGGGGGGGGGGGCGTGCAGGAGGCGGCCAATCGATGTTCTCTCTCATCGATATTTCTCTCCCTCTCTCTCCCTCTCCATTCCTCTCTCTCTAAAATCAATAAAGAAAAAAATTTAATAAAAATGAATAAAATATTAAAGTTCTCTTTCAGTACCACCCTCTCTACCAATTCCACCCTCCTCCCAGAGATAACCCTACATTTCTTCATTTCTGTGCAAATACATGTACACATATATATATGTGTGCAAATACACATACACACAAATGTCTAATTTTCAACTGTATACTGAATATATATTTTAGCCCCTTTCTATAGAACCAATAGTAATTAAGATATATGGCTCCAACTGCAGAAATCAATATGAAAGACAAGACAAACATCCTGAAGACAAGTCGGGCAGCAGCCTAAAGCACTTACACACTGTGACTGCACCAGGGCTGGGGCCTCACACCACCCACAGGGCAGGTGCAAACTCCTCCTCCCCAGAGGCACACACCCATCCTTCCCACCCAAGGACTTCAGATGACCAAGCCAACCCCGGCATCAAAGGCAAGAAGGTGATGAGGAGAGGTGAGACTGCAGCAGCCTGTCAAGGCATACCCACGCAGCCTGCCCTCATTCACTGGGAGGAAATTCCGTCCCCAAGGTGGGCTACTCTGATTCCAATCACTCTACTTGCTAAGACAGGGTCTCACAGGGAGCAAAACTGCATCCATCTTCAACATCTGCCCAGCAGACCCAGCTCTGCCCTCCAGAGCCAAACAAGTAAGCGGGTCCCCATCCATACCACAGCCTCCAATGCTTCCAGGGTTACTCTGAACCTTTTAGAGCATCTCTTTTCCAACTTAATCTTCCATAGAAGACAGTATTCGGGACACTCTCTCTCTCTGCCCCTTCTAGACAAAGCCCCAACATTTGCACAAACTAAAGAAAAAAAGAACCCTAGTTTTTTTGCATACAAACTACTTATTACTAGGCCTCCATCTCAATGACACCCTTGAACCTGTCTTACTTTTTTTGGCACAAACTTATTCACAGCACACCAAACGCACGCACGCACGCCACCTGCACTACCAGAATCTGTCGTCCACACTATGGCAACCCACCCAGTTTTCTGGCTCCAGAATTGTGAACATCCCATGTCTTCAACAGACCAGGCAGGCACATGTGATCTGTTGATATAGGAGTATTACCCCTGAAACACTGGTGATGTACAGTGAAGCAATTGTGTCAACTTACTTTCAGAAAAAAACAATGCGGTAAACAGAGGGAATGATAACAACTGGGAATCTGGGTGCAGGCTAAGCAGGAATGCTATGTATCTTTTTTTGCAACTTTTCTATAAATTTAAAATTACTTCCTAATAAGTTACCAAACCACTTACTAGTCAGGTTTCTCCAATTTCAGGCTAAAGAAAAAGTGCAGTGGATGTTCCTAAAGTGTTGCTGCAGCGGCCCTCATGGTCTCCACCCTATTCATGCACAAACTCAGTGTGGCAAGAATGACCTGTCCTCAGCCTGTCTGTGACACCTGTGCTCCACCTGAACTGTATGGGTATTCTGTTTACATGGGTGCCTTCCAGAGTGACTGACATATGAGTTTCCACTCATCAGAGATAAAGTGGATAGAACTGTCAACACAAATAAAATATGGGAGTGGGCCTCCACCACACACACTCAGCACCAGGACACAGGGGCTCTGAAAGTGGCTCTACTACTAAACTGACTGGGATTGGTGGTGACCACGAAGACTGAAGAGGCGATGGAGGTTGCCCTACTGTTCAAGGACCCCGGGCACCTTGTGATGACCAGGTGATCATGCTCAGTGGCCGAAGGCAGCTCACATGCTGTCCTTACCTGAACTACCTGAGTACTTATAGGAAGCGTGTGTTTGGGTGTAGGAGAGGGTAGAACCATCAACCTCATGTTCTTGCTTAACACTCGCTCTGCACCACACTGAGGACAAGCCAGTCTCCCTTCTGAACTCTGAGCGACATCACAGGGAGTGAAGGACAGTCCCTCCTGCACAGTGCTGGCACCCTGCTCCACAGGCTCCACTGATCCCCAGAAGGCCTAGCAGGACCTGCACATGCGAACCCATGAGGAGCAATGAGCTCACAGAGAGCTCTAAATTACCTGACCCTCATCAGCTTGGGTAGTGGCCAAGGCACAACAGAGGAGTCCCCTAGGCATATGTGGCCCTGGACAGTGGTGGGACCATGTGGGCATGGATGTGCCTCTTAAAGAAGATACAATATACAAAGGTCTGGGCTTACCCCATGGTGAGGAGTCGATTTGTCTCTCAGTATAAAGATTCTTTATTTCTAAAGGGACTTGCCTCATGGTTCCATCACACAATAAGGCCCCAACCTGGCTGCTCTCACAGCAACCCCTGTGGGTACATACCTAAGCGCTGGGCAAGGCCAGTGGAGGTCGTGTCGGAAGTGTCTCCAAGGAGGGAGGTGGACACAGGGATGGAGTCCTAAAAGGAAAACAGAGAGTTCAATGCTGCTTCTCCATCAGCCGAACTTCTGTCACTTCTGATTCTTCACTAGGGTGGCAGTGGCAGGTCCTGGGCAGTTAGACACATTTACCAAGAGAAAGAAGTCTGGCATCTGTGTCAGCACCAGCTCGCCTAGCCCTCTGCTGCATATGAGGTTACACAGCTGGGAGAGATGAAAAGGAGTCACCTAAAGCTGGCACACAGTGCTGTCAATAGTGCTAGGAGCTATTTCACATATAGGGCGTGTTTTAGTGCTGGAAACTCCAAAGCATGCTAAAAGGCAACATCACAACCAAGAGGGAAGCAAACAAGATCATAGCGGCCACAGCAAGAAGAAAGTGATCAGCGTCTGGGTGCCAAGTGCCTCCAGGTCCCTCTCACCCTGGCAGCCAGCAGTGGAGAAGGCAGGACATCTAACCTGCACACCTAGGCCTGTAAGAGAACCACAGCTCCATTCCCCTAAGGGTGTCTGGGCTCTTCAAGGTCCACGAAGGCCCTGTGACTTTGCAAAAGGGCACCAGTCATCAGCATCCAAATAACAAAAATAAAAACTTTAGAATATGCTTGGTCAATTCTCATTTACTTCCAATTACTTTGGAAGTAATCCCTCTCATCATTAAAAAGGCCTAGATTAAAAGGGAAAAACCCACTAACTTATAATAAGGCCACGTTACTTTTACTGTGAGCAGAGCACAGATCAGAGACTGCTCCTTATCTCCTAAGAGTTTAAAGTTACCTCAAAACGAGACAGAATTTGTTTAGGTCTATAAAAGAATGAAAACGTTTACTTCATGTTTTTTTTAAAAAAAGATGTAAAAATATGATTTTAATGAATTTGCTGTTTACAGATTTCAAGTTCAACATTTTAACTGTTAATAGTACTTACAGTTAAACCTCTTGAAAACAGAAAATCTACCTTAACAGGGTGACCTTTTCTGACCAAACGCAAAATTAAAAACCCGTATTATTACCCTTTTTCATACTTCATTATTTCTGAAATCATCTATGTCAAGCTGGTCTCCCAGGTAGATAACTGCCTAGCCGGTTTTACTGTGGCAGGAGGACCACCTTCCACTCACCCAGGTGGGCCAAGCGCATTCTGGGTTCTCTGAGCACACAGGGTCCCCCACCCCATCTTTCCTGGTCTCAGGCCGCTTCCCTCCTGCTGGTGGGGCCCTGCTCATCCTAGGGCTGCAGCTTCTCTTGGCACCATAGACGGACTTGCAGGCTGCAAGGCTGGCCGGCTGGAAGAGCAATACACTAGTATGGTTTTGTTTTACATAGTCTAGTCCCAAGTGTAGAGGTTTGAGGGAAGGGAGGAGGAGGGAGACCTCACAGACCCTTCAGAGCCATCCTTTACTCATTGGCCAGTAAACGTTTTCTAACAAAGGCCAGACAATAAAGAGTTTAGTTTTATGGACTACAAGGTCCAGTAGCAACTGATCAACTCTGCCATCCAAGTGCAAAAGCTGTGTCAGACTCTACTAAATGGATGGGCTTAGCTGCATTCCAATAAAACCCGATCACAAAAGTAGACACGAGCTAGCCTGCGGGCCACTGTGTGCCAAGCCCTGGTCCACAAGAATCCTTGTTTCCCTGCCTTAAGCTACAGCCTGCACCTCTTCTCTCTAGCTGACCCAGTGCTCTGCACCTGGAGGGCAATGTCTAGACACACCGTGGCCAGTCTGTGAGAATGGCTCCTTTTCCTTTTCTTGCCCCAATCCTGATGTAAGGCAATTTTCCACTATGACTAAGTGGTCAGACCACCAACTACCCACAGGAAGAGCCTTGAAAAAAACTTAAGGAATCAATGCCTGGTCTTACAAATGAGCAGGCCTGAGCCCCATGTGGCCCACAGCTGTACACATGGTCTGTGGCTACAGCCTTAGGATTAGGAAAGGTGAGATGCTCCAGGGCACCATGCTCTCCAAACAAAGCCCCACCCATTACCACCCTGCCCCTCTAGGCCCTCTTCCTCTCCAGTGAAGGAAGACCTGGAATTGCCACCTGCCCAAAGGCCCACCTGCTGGTACCCACCAGAAAAGAAAAAGAACAGCAAGAAGGGAAAAGGCCAATGAGGACAGCCAGAGGGAAAAGAGATACTATATGAGGACATCCAGAAGGCCCATTCAGAGGCTGTCTCCTTCCCAAAGCTTGGCCCAGATCCTGCCTGATGGCTCGCTCCTCTGATTTCCCACCATCCCTGGGGCCCTCAGAGATTACCATCCTTACAGCCTGGCTAGCTGTGGTTACTGTCAGTCCTCCCTAGCAAATGGGTAGTTCCCCGAGGGTTCCTCACTCATTCATTCAACAAGGATTTAATGAGCAGCTTGTCAGGCACTGGGGATACAAAAACTCATAAAACAGACAAAACCTCAAAACCAACAAAAACTGCAGAGGGAGCAACAGCTGGGGGCATGCCTGTCTGCTAGAGACAAGGGGCCTGTGAGTGGGCAGGGAGGAGGGCATGAACAGGGGAGTTCTCCCAGGTAACAGAACTTGGAGGGTCACAGTAAAGTCTCTGGGCTGTGCTGACTTTCTCGCTTGAAAGGTATGGAGCAGAGGAATGACTGCAGTCTGCTGCCCCGTGGAGAAATGACCATAAGGCACTGTTGTGGGTCGAACTGTACCCTCCAAAAAGATATGTCCATGTCCTAACCCCCAATACCTATGAATGTGACTTCATTTAGAAATAGGATCTTTGCAGAAATAATTAAAATGTAAGTTAAGCCCTGGCCAGTTTGGTTCAGCGGTTAGAGCGTCAGCCCACGGACCAGAGAGTCCTGGGTTCGATTCCCATTAGGGGCACGTATCTCAGTTGTGGTTTGTCCCCGGCCCCAGTTGGGGTCGTGTGGGTGGCAACCAGTTGATGTGTCTCTCTCACATCTCTCACATTGATGTTTTTCTCTCTCTCTCTCTCTTCCTACCTCTCTCCCTCCTGCTCTATCTGAAGATAAATGCAAAAATGTCCTCAGGTGAGAATTAAAAAAAAAATGTAAGTTAAGATGAGGTCATACTGCAGTAGGGTGGACCCTTAATTTATCATGACTGGAGCCCTTATAAGAAGAGAAGACACACATAGAAACACTCAGAGAAAAAGGCTATGTTACATTGGAAGCAGAGACTGAAGTGATGAAGCTGCAAGCCAAGGGACACCAAGGACTGCCAGCCACAAGAGATGGAAGAGAGGCATGGGATGAGTTCTCCCTCGGAGCCTCCAGAAGGAACCAGCCCTGACAACACCCTGATTTCAGACTTCTGGCCTCCAGAACTATGACAGAACAAATCTCTGTTGTTTTAAGCCACCTAGTTTGTGGCACTTTGTTAAAACAGCTCTAAAAAACTAATACAGACAGCAAAGGGGGAAACAGCCAAAGAGGAGAAATACTGCAAGCCTGGCCTGGGGTGGCAGACCTTAAGAAGGTGAGAGGTGACTGGACTCGTGTATGTTTTGTTAAAGTACAGTTGACATACAGTATCATATTAGTTTCAGGTATAAAACATAGAAACTCTACATTTGTATACTTTCGATATGCTCACCACAATAAACCTCATTATATCCCCATGACTTATTTATTTTATAACTGAAAGTTTGTACCTCTTATTCCCCTTCACCTTTTTCCACCCATTCCCCACTCCCTTCCCCTCTGGTAACCATCAGTTTGTTGCTTGTATGGATGACTCTGTTTCTGTTTTGTTATGTTTATTCATTTTTTTTGTTTTTGTTTTTAGATTCCACATAAGTGAAATCTTACAGTATTTGTCTTTCTCCCTCTGACTTAATTCACTTAACGTTGACTCCTGTATGTTTTGATTGGCATCAGTGCTCACAAACTCACTGCCATTCGGCTGTAGAGTGTGGGCAACAGGTATCATCAAGGATGACGCCCAGGTCCAGGCGGAGTCACCCTAACAGAGATGCGCTGGCTGTGACAGGGACAGGTCGAGTCTGGTATTGAATAAGTCTACCATGCCTCCGTATTAGACTTCCAAGTAAAGACACAGGAGTCTGAAGTTCAGGAAAGAGGTCTGTACTGGAAACACAGATACATGTCGGTGTGGTCAACACAGAGAGGGCATGAACACTCAGAGACAGCTGCCATCCCCCAGGGCGCAAGTGACCAGGGAGCAGAGGTCCCAGGACGAAGCCCCGGGCACTCCAACTACAGAGATGCGCGAGAAAGAGCCATCGGAGTGGCGGATGGACAGGAAGGACCTGCAGAGTTCCCACGTGCTCGCCTGAGCGCACACAGCTCCCCTCCGGGGGGTGCAGGTCCCGACCGACCCCCATTCCCCCCCACGTCACAGGAAGAGTTCCGGAGAGCGCCCACGACGCACGCCCCAGGAGACCAGAGGGCGGCGCCCGCGGTCTCCCCGGCGGACCCTGGGCGCGCACCTGGAGGCCCCCGCCGGCGCCCAGACCCCTGGCTCTCCCACCGGCCGGCTCCCAGCGCCCCGCACTGCTCCGGCCGCCTAGGAACCCCCACCCCGGGCTCCGGGCCCCTCTGTCCCCTGCCCCCGCCTCCGGCCGGCACTCACGTAGCGGCTGCACATGGCCACGGCGAGGTTGCGCAGGTGCGGCGTGGCCCCCACCCACAGGAAGAGCGAGTCCGTCAGCCGCATGACGTGGAAGTGGACCAGCTGCTCCCACAGCCTCGCGCTGAAGTTGTGCAGGGAGACGTCCCCGCCCGCGGCGGCCCGCGGCCCCTCCATGCCGCCCGGCCGGCCCGCGGCCCACCAGCGCCGCGACTCGTTCCTCGCCGCTGTCGCTGGTCGCGCTAGACCCGAGTAGACGAGCGCCGAGCGCCGAGCGCCTTCGCTTTCGCTTTCGGCCCGGGAAGCGAGTGGGTGGGGCCGGGGGCGGGGCCAGGCAGCCTGAGCCGCCGCCGAGCGGTCCTGCCGGCCTCGACCTGCGCTCCTGGAGGTCGTTGGACGTGATGGGGGTGGGAGGACCCTCTCGTCACTGACAGGGCAGGACTGGCGTCGCCCTCGCTTGTTTCTTTCTTCTCCCACCCCAGTTAGTGCAAGCTGGTAGCACGTGGGCGCCGGAGCTAGCCGCAAGGCTTCCCGGGTCGTGACGCGCCCCTGCAGAGACTCCTGCTCTAATCACGGGGTTCCGAGAGCACCCCTCTGCCATCGTGCCGTCTGGGGCTGGGATTACCAAAACCCTCCCTCCTCGTAGCCCTGCAAGTCCCGGAAAGCCTTGAATGTAGCTGGCTTTAAAAATGTCACCGATGTTGAGGGAAAGCCTATAAAAGAGGAAAATTGCGTCGACTAAGTTTTGGGGAGGATGGCAGGCACTGTTTCAGACCCTCCTAAATTGCAGTTGTGAAGACGTGTGGACCTTGGGCTAATCTTTTAACCTCGGCGAGACTCGGTTTCCTCGTCTACAAAATGGACGTAAGAATAGGTACTCCTCAGAGAAGTGGAAAAGATTATGAGCAAGTACATGGAAAGTACGGTGAATAGTGGCCATTATCATCCCAGCTGAGGGACCCTTTAATTTCAGTTACTTTTAGACACTGCAGAGTTGAAATAAGGAAACCTTCAGTGTGTTAGGGAGGGAGGTAGGGAGGGAGGGAGGGAGGGAGGAAGGAAGGGGTAAAAGCAAATAGGGCCCATTTGTCAGACTCTGTTACAAGTTATTTTTAGGTTTTAAGTCAAAACTATCACAGTTCTTTAAAAAGTTCTCCTTTTAAAATCTCTAGTTGGTCTAAGTTGACTAAATTAACATTGTAAAATTAACATTTTATAGGTTTGTTCTATTTGCTAATTATCGATGATTCAATAATATAGTTAATTTTCAGTTTAATTTTTAAACAGCTTTATTGTTATAATTGACATACAATAACTGCACATATTTAAAGTATACAAATCGAAGTTTTGACACATATATGACTCATAAAGCCATAACTACAAAATAGTGAATGTGTCTGCCACCCTCAAAAGTTTCCTTAAGCTGCTTGGTAATCCTTCCTGCCTCTCCCCCAACCACTGATCTGTATTTTGTCATTACAGATTAGTTTACATTGTCTAGAGTTTTATATAAATGAAATCATACAGTATATACAACTTTTTGTCTGCTTTTTCACTCATCATAATTAATTTGAGATTAATCTAGGTTGGTGGATGTATGAATAGTTCATTTCTTTTTATGGTTTCACAGTATTTTATTGTGTGACTCCACTGTTTGTTCATCCATTCACATGTTGATGTTCGTTTGTGCTATTTCCTGTTTGGGATATTACAATAAAACTGCTATAAACAAATGTGTACAACTAAGTCTCTGTATGGACATACGCTTTCATTTCTTGTAAATAAGTACCTAGGAGTGGAATGGTTGTATCATACATATGGTAGGTATATGTGTAACTTTTCAAGAACCTGACAAACTGTTTCTAATGAACCTCAATTTATATTTCACATCATACACAAAAATGAATTCAAATGGTTTATAGACCTAAACATAAAACCTAAGGCTATAAACTTCTAGAAGAAAACCTTTGTGACTTTTATTTAGGAAAAATATTTCTTAGATGAAACACCAGAAGCATGATTCATAAAAGAATAAATTGATAAATTAAACTAATGGAGCAGATAGATGATCTCACCCACATTCCAATTCTAATATCCTCTAATGCTTTGTCCCCCTAGGAAACAAACACAGTTTTTTAAATGGAGAGTTTATATCTGAAGAATCTTAAAGAACTGTCGGGGGAAACTAAATAGTTAACACGCTATTGCCTCACTCTCCTCCTCCACACATACTCAGCATAAGCTGAAGCATGCTCCTCCATGAGAACACTGCTGGGAAAACCACGTGACCCAGTCATGCCCCCCAACATCACCTGCCCCTTGAACACTGCCCTGCAGTTCCTAGATTGTGTCCTCTCCCATTTACCTTAAGGACTATTCTCTTGAAACCCTAACCCTACCCAAGCCCAAGTTCAGCAGATGACCCTGCTTCTGATTCTAAAAAAAAAAAAAAAAAATAGAGGTTATCAGGCGTGATTTCCCCAATTCCTTGTACTTCTATTCAAACCCTCATCTTCATTTATCCCATTCTTACTTTCTTTTACTCCTCATTACAGTGAGCGGTATCACAGTTTAATCCATCCACCTGTGCTCTGACCCTATCCTCCATGTTCTCAGGAACCTCACTCCATCAACTGTGGTGAACTCTAAGATGTGCCCCCTAGGTCTCCCTTCAAGAAAGGACTTATTATCTCAGCTGCTGGAAATGTTATTAGCAGAAAGCCTTCTGTGGTCTCCTTTAGAGTCCACACACACTTTCCAGGTCAGCCCTCATCCAGTGACTGGTAGAGGCAGCAGAATAAAGGCCAGGCCATTTTGTTCCAGTTCTGGACAACTGTGTTGCACCATTTTCACTCCAGAGCACCCATGGGGTTAGCTGAAGCTGACTACTGAAAGGGTAGCATTCACTTTGTACCATCAGAAGAAATCAAGATGGATGGTCAGGAGTCTGAGTGAAGTCATCCCAATAAAATCTTATGGTCTTGCCCTAGCCAGTTTGGCTCAGCAGTTAGAGCATCAGCCTGCGGTCCAGAGAGACCCGGGTTCGGCTCCTGCTAAGGGCACGTACCTCAGTTGCAGTTTGTCCCCAGCCCTGGATGGGTCGTGCAGGTGGAGGCCACTCGATGTGTCCCTTTCATGTCGATGTCTCTCTCTCCTACCCCCCCCCCCCAGCCCTTTCCACTCTATCTGAACAAAAAATGTAAGAGTGTCCTCAGGTGAGGATTAAAAAAAAAAAAAACTTAAAAAATAAAAATCTTATGGTCTCCTGATCAGTTTCCAGACCTGAAACTCAGGTCCCCTGAAACACTATGGCAATTATACACAGTGTGACCGCCCTGGCTTTCCCCAAAGGCCCCAATGGCCATTTACTCAGGTAACAGTCCACTAGGGAAAGAGGAAGACTCAAATGTCTCAAGAGTCAGAGTTGGAATTGAGATCTGGAGACCTGAAGTGTCATCATGGTCTCCTAGTAGAATGGGAGCTTACAGGATCCCAGACAGCAAATGAAGTCCTGGCCAAAGGGTCTGCAGACCATACAGATCCATCTGGGGTCATTTGCGTGGTCCCTGAATATATAATGTGGATAGACATACTTGGAAGTTGGCACAATCTCCACACCAGGTCCTTGGCCTGTGGGGTAAGAGCTATCCTAGTGGAGAAAGCCAAGCAGAAGACTATGAAATTGCCAAGCCAAGCAATATTGCATCCAGAGGAGGATGGTGAAAATTAGTGCCACCTTTGAGGATCCAAAGGATGCAGTGGTAGTGGTCCTTATCATATCTCAGCTTCACCAGTTCAATCCTGGAAGATGGCAATGGCCTATCATAGACTCTGTCAGGAAGCAGTCCCAATTGCAGCTGCCACAGCATATGTGGTATCTTTACTAGAGCAGTAGAACGTGATCTGGGATTTGGGAAATGCTTCTTTCCTATTGCCACCAGAAAAAAGGAGCAGAAACAGTTTGCATTTACATGGGATGAACAACATTTTTCATTTATAATTTTGCCCAGCACTGTGTTAACTTTTCACCCTCCGTCAGAATGTAGTCTTGAGATATCTCTACTGTCTCATTCTACAGAATATCACATTGATGCATCACCTCATTGTCACCTGGCATTCACCAATGCCGTATATTCAGCTCACACCTATGGCTGTCCTGAGGTTCTCATAGAAATAGTTGAAGAATGAGGTAAAAGCCTGAGCTTGGTTTTTGGAGAGGTCAGTGTAGAGGTGCAAGCTACAAGTGGACGGCAGCAGCACTACAGCCTTATTCTGGCAGTACATCTGGTTGTCCATTTTGTGTAGACAGAGCAGGAGACTAAGGTTATAGTACATACAGACCAATGGGCAGCAGGGAATGACCTGGCTGGGCTGGTTAGAGAAAGATTGGAAGGTGGAAGACAAAAAGGTCTGGGGAAGAGGCATGTGGATGGAGTGTCCCCAGGGTGTGACCATCATGGTATCATGTTATCACCCAGGAGAGAACATCCACCAAAGAAGAGGAATTAATCAACTAAGTAGACAAAATGACTCAGTCAGTTGATGTTAGTGAGCTCTCATCTTCCACCACCCCGGGGATGGTACAATGTGCCATGAGCAAAATAAGCATGGTAGCAGAGATGGAGGTTACACAAGGGCCAACAGGACAGAATTCCACTTCCCAAAGTTGATCTTACTGCTGCTGCCACCAAATGTCCTACCTACCAACAGAGATCCAGGCTCAGGCTCTGTTATGGCACCAACTTCAAGGAGAACACTGGCCACATGGCAGCAAGTTGGTGTTGTCGGGCTCCTTCCAGCAGGGGGGCCAGCAATTTGTTCTGACAAGAATAGAATCACGTTCCAGCTATGGGTTTGTCCTTCCGGTCCACAGGGCTGCAGATGGCTCCATTGTCCGAGTGCTTACAGAGGGTGTGGTCCTCTCCCATGGTGTTCCACATAACATCACAAGACAGCAAAAGAAATGGGAGAGTGGGCCCAGACCCATGGCAGCCTCTGCTCACATCACACACTCTGTGCCACACACATGCTGCCACCCACTGAAGGAGATGCTCAGAGAGGACCCTTTACGACGATGGAAAGCCATCCTCCAGGACCCTGTATACAACTTTAACCCAAGTTTATATGGTACTGTGTCCCCAGTTGGAAAAGCTCATCATTCAGGGATCCAAAGGGTGGAAGCAGGAGCCACGCCACTTCCCATCACTCCCAACAACCCATTTAGGGAATTGTGCTTTCCAAACCTG